ACCATGGCAGGAGAAAGGATAGATGGGATTGGCAGGCAGAGAAATAAATATGAGGAGAAATCTGGGAGGAAAGGATCAAGGATTGAGGACTGAGAGAAGGAGGAGGACTCCAGGGACCAGTCACACAGCTACACAACTAAAGAAAGGTATATGGAATAGAGATAAAAGCCCAGAGGCAAAAGGTAGTTGGTGTAATTTAAGCTAAGAAAAGCTGGCAAGAAACAAGCCATGCTAAGGCCAGGCATTCATAAGTAAGACTAAATCTCCATGTGTATTTATTTGGGAGCTGGAGGGCAGGACCCCAAAGAACAAAGAGTAAAACAAACAAACAAACAAACAAACAAACAAAGAAGCAAATAAACCCTATTTTGTGTCCAAGATGGTACTCAAATATCTTTAGGGCCTGAGAAGACTGGGAGAAAGAAAAAGAGGATATGGCTTCTTTAAGAGTTTGTGCCAGACAGTGAGCCCTTGAACAGCCATAGGAACAAAAAACTAAGCATATATACACGTTCCTACTCGTGTTTAAGGTATTGTACCTATGTAATTTACTTTAAAATGTAAGGTAAAATTATAGTTTTGGAAAGCTATTATTATAAACTATTTAGGGTAATCATGAAACACAGGTCAGTAGTGAGTCATCTATAATAATCAAATTTGTAGATCTGTTAGGTATGTTTCCAGCAGAGATATATTTTAGATAGATAAATAATCTTCAGACACTTCAAAGAACTATAAAATATGCCATTTAAAAGGTGAGACAGTCCTTCAAAGTTCCTGCTTCACTGAAAAACCTGACAGATATTCTAGGCTGATAGGCTGAAGATGGATGCCCCTACATTGCAAAGGAGCTGTGGGTGACTCTCCGGGCAGCCAGATGTCTTTGTTGTTAGGTAATATCACATCCTTCTGGGTTCTTTGGTGAAGTTAAAGACTAATTTGAGTTGCAAGTTGCAGTTTTCCTTAGTTATGATACAAAGTAATTTAAGTATTAAGCTTTAGACTCACTAAGATAGGACAGATAATGGAGCTTTTTCTCTAAATTTGTCAGACACAAATAGACTGGACATTGTGAATGTAATCTTTACTTGATAATTGTTCTTATTGTATGTAACTTCACTATGTTAAGTTAAAACTTTTTATTTTTATTTTACAGAAAAGGGAAACTGTGAAATATTAGTTGAAGATGTGCTGCATTCATTTGTGCTGTCCACAGCATATTTGTTTAATAGCGCAAAGATGCGTTACATTCTTTTATGCTGCATTTGTTTAGTTTTGTGGAGTTGTGTTACTTTGCCTATCTAAAACACCTGATTGGGCTAGCAAAGAGCTGAGCAGCCAATAGCAAGGCAGGAGAGAGAAATAGGCAGGGCTATCAGACAGAATAATTAGAAGAAGAAAAGGAGAAGAAGGAGCAAGAAAAGGAGGAGAAGAGAATGGTAGGGACCAGCCACCCAAGCAAACAGTCAAACATGGAATAAGAAGGAAAGAAAAAAACATACAGAAATAGAAAAGGATAAAACCCCAGAGGCAAAAGGTAGATGGGATAATTTAAGAAAAGCTAGCTAGAAGGAAGACAAACTAAGGCCAGGCGTGCATAAGTAAGAAAAGTCTCTGGGTATTCATTTTGGAGCTGGGTGGCAGGCCCCCAAAGGGCAAAGAAAAAAATAAAACACTATACCTAGCCAGTACCAGGTTGATCTCACACCACAGAAGAAAAGGAGTCAGTGTGAGGTACTTTGCTTTGTGGCGAGATTCCTCCACATACGAAAGGCTTCCTAGGGTGTTTGTTCTCTGTGCTGTCCTGGGCACTCATCACCCAAGTGTCTTCGGCACATAGACTTGAAGTAGACAAGATGACCAGGAAGCCATGCAGAGAAATGAGAATGGCTCTAGAACAAGCTCTGGGCCGTAGATGGAGATACCTTCTTCAGATTGGGCGGGAAGTGGGCAGCATCAGGAAAAAAACAAAAACACAAACAAAAACTTTGTATACTCACAAGAGAAGCCAAATCCTAGAGACTGGGAAGAGAGGTGTTTTCCAGGCAGGGAAGAAGGGGGATGGGCATTTGCATAAAGGGACCAGCATCCCCAAAGACATTGCAGGGGATAAAAGAGGCAGCATGCTCTTCATCAGATGACATGAAGGATGCCAAGCAATGCAATATTTGTATGTGAGAGAGTCACACACACACACACACACACACACACACACACACACACACACTGCTGTATGTATAGTCTGATAGGTTAGGAGGCCAGAGAATTCGGGGGTCAGGTCATTAAATCTTATACAACGCATATGGTATTACAGAAGGGGAAGGGGATTTGACAATGGTGTGGGATTCCTGGAAACCAGCTAACCAGGGTGAACTTTAGGTACCTACAAGACCAAAGGAAAAAAAGGAGAGAGAGAGAGCCTCCACACTTTTTGATGTGAGTTTTTTTTTTTGGCTATTTTTTGTTTTGTATGACAAAATGAGACTGGACTGGACTTTGGAAGACTCTCAGATCACACAGTTTGCAGGGAGCAGGAGAGGGACAAGTGGACATGGATATGTATCAGTCTGGAAACTCCAGGATGTCATGGGATATGTGGGGTAAATAGCAGGTAATCCGCAAGTACCCCACTCTCTCACCCCCCATCTTCACCGAGATATGAGTGACAAATAAAAATTATAGGCATTTAAGGCCTACCGTGTGGTGTTTAACACATGCATTGTAAGTGATCACCATAATCGAGATAATTAACGTATCTCTCAGCTCATACATGTGACCTTTTCCCCTGCCTGATAAGAACACGTACGGAAAGCTTCCCGTATGCGTCATTATCCCCTATGGATGCCACGCTGTACACAAGGTCTCTAGAGCTGTAGAACTCAGTAACCCATCCCTGCGAATCTGTATGTTGAACAAATCCCTCTTCTCCCTCCCCTTCGGCACGAGGTCGCCTTCATACGCTCTGCTGTCTATTACTGTGAAGGTGGTTCTTTTTAGAGTCACACATAAGTGAGATGTTTCCCTTAGCATAGTGATGTCTTTCAGGTTAGTCATTGGTCGCAAATGGCAAGATTTCCTCCTTTTTTTTTTTGGAATCTGAATAATGTTCTAGGTCTTGGTTCTTGCAAGTTATGCTTCAGCGAACACGGGTGTCAGTAGATAGTGATTTTATTCCTTTGGATGAATATCCAGATGTGAGCTTACTGGATCATATAGTACTTCTAATTTGTATATTTTTGGGGGCAATTTTTAGCATTTCTTTCATAATGACTATATTAATTTCCCTTCCCACCGATAGGGGACAAGGTTCCCTTTTCTCCGCACCCTTGCTAGTGCTTGCAATCTTTTGACTTTTTGATAATTGCAGTCCTAACAGGCATGAGCTGGCAGCTCTTCGGGTTTTTGATTTGTAGTTTCTCTGATGACCAGTGACGCTGAGTGTCTTCTCACATCCCTGCTGGCCATAGTTGAACAATCCAAACCAGCAGTTCAAAGCGTGCCAGTCCCTCATCAACTCATCATATCCACTGCAATTCCCTAGCCCAGCGTGGAATTCGCGCAAATAAATAGATGGTAGTGACCCAGTGTAATCAGGGCCCAGAACTCTGAAGATATCCAAGAGGGTGGGGTGGTGGAAACACCCAAGATAGTTTGGGGAGATCTGGGGGGGGGGGCTTATATCTTATAGAAGCCGGATTGTGTAGGAGCTGCGGATCCTCGGATGAATAAGGCATAGTTTCTCCTAGAGTAGGTGGGGACACACACTAACAAAGGCAATGCCATTAGACAAAGAACTGTTGCAGACTCGCGTGTCTATATATATTGTATCTTTCTTTAGTTGAAAAAGAATGTTCTCCTTTTGCTCAAATTCGCCCTTTTTAAAGCTGAGCTATCTAGAAGATTGTCTGCCAGAACCCCAAAGTGGCTGGGAACTACCTTGCTGGGTGCAAACCCTGGGACTTTAAATAGTGGGTGCACATTCCTGCCTGACCAAACAAAATTCAGTGAGTCCTGGTGACAGGTGGTTTATGACTGTAGATTCGCTTCCCAGTGGCATCCATCAGTCTGCTTCCTCTGCTTTCCTGGTTTATTTCCCTTCACGCTGGAGCAAACCTATGCCTAGACAAGATACCCGCATGAATTAGGGGCCCTGAAGGGGGAGGAGAAACATGCTTCTTGTATGGGATGGTGGGAGGCAGAAAGAAATCCAATGTACCAAAACAGAAAGTGACCCTCAGGCAAACACTTTGTGAACCGCTGAGAGTAACAGACGACTCTCAGCAGCGGGAACTGGGGGGGCGACAATCGCAGGATGGCGGCTTGCGTAGGTCCTGGTTTCACGGGCCGCCGCTGGTCAAGGCCGGGGGGCGTGTCCGAGGGGCGGTGCCGCGTGGAGAGGAGGAATTTTTTTAAAAAAAGGTAATTAGCATCCTCAGATTCCATTGGCTCTTACACAGCCCTGATTTGCATACGCCCGCCCCCTGGCAGCCAGGGTTTGCTGGGGCTCAGCAGGGTTTTGCAGCCGCTTGGCGTTTTAGTGCAGGGCGGGAGCTCAGGGAGCCGCGGCCCGGATCCCGGAGCCGGGAGCCCGCTGCCCGCCGAGCTGCGGCGGCGATATCTGGGGCGATCTCGGTTCTAGCGACACCGTGGCCAGCACTCAGAGGCTTCTGCGTCCGTTCAGTCCCAGGGAGGAGCGGGCCAGACACTTTTATTTTGGATGAAAGGCGTGAGTCCTGGCAGGAGCTTCTCTCCCGGCCTGGCTTGCGGTTCAGTGCGCCCCAGCTCTGGCTCCGACTCCAAAAGACGACTTCAGTCTCTGTCGTGTATCTTTCAGTGGTGACGCCTGTGGGAGGCAGGCGAAAGTAGTGGCAATTGCTGGCAACGCCAGGTGGGAAAGTGAGCCTAGGCGACGAGGAGGCGTGCTGTCGTCCCTGTGGCCCCCGGTGCCCACAGCGCCTTGCCTTTCCTTCCCCTCGGCTCCCCATCGGCCGCAGCATGAAGTGGCGCAGCGATGGCCAGGAGAGGTAAGAAGCCGGTGGTGCGAACGCTGGAGGATCTGACGCTTGACTCGGGTTATGGTGGTGCGGCGGACTCTGTGCGCTCCTCCAACTTGTCTCTGTGCTGTTCTGACTCTCACCCGGCGTCCCCGTATGGCGGGAGCTGCTGGCCGCCTCTAGCTGACTCCATGCACAGCCGGCACAACAGCTTTGACACCGTCAACACTGCCCTGGTGGAAGACTCCGAGGGGCTGGACTGCGCCGGCCAGCACTGCTCGCGGCTGCTGCCGGACCTCGACGAGGTCCCCTGGACCCTCCAGGAACTGGAGTTGCTGCTGCTGCGTTCTCGGGATCCCCGGGCAGGCCCAGCGGCTCCCGGCAGTCTGCCCAAGGACGCACTGGCCAAGTTCTCGATGCTGGTAAGCCGGGCTCTGGTGCGCATCGCCAAAGAGGCGCAGCGCCTGAGCCTGCGCTTCGCCAAGTGCACTAAGTATGAGATCCAGAGCGCCATGGAGATTGTGTTGTCCTGGGGCCTGGCGGCGCACTGCACTGCTGCCGCGCTGGCCGCGCTGTCCCTCTACAACATGAGCAGCGCAGGCGGCGACCGCTTAGGCCGTGGCAAGTCGGCGCGCTGCGGCCTCACCTTCTCCGTGGGCCGCGTGTACCGCTGGATGGTGGACAGCCGCGTGGCGCTGCGCATCCACGAGCATGCGGCCATCTACCTGACCGCCTGTATGGAGAGCCTCTTCCGGGACATCTACACGCGGGTGTTGGCCTCCGGGCTACCCCGTAGCTGTAGCGGCCCCTGCACTGGCTCCAGCTCGGGTTCTGGCCCAGGCCCCGGCTCAGGCCCGGGTGCTGCCCCTGCCGCGGATAAGGAGCGCGAGACGCCTGGAGGGGGAGCGGCGAGCGGTGGCCCTTGCAGCGCAGCTAGCAGCGCCAGCGGGGGCAGTAGCTGTTGCGCCCCGCCAGCTACGGCGGCGGCCGTGGTCCCGCCGGCCACAGCCACAGCCCCCGCCGCGGCTGCCGCCGCCAACCACCACCACCACCACCACCACCACCACCACACTCTTCACGAAGCGCCCAAATTCACCGTGGAGACCCTGGAGCACACGGTCAACAACGACTCGGAAATCTGGGGGCTGCTGCAGCCCTACCAGCACCTCATCTGTGGGAAGAACGCCAGCGGTAAGTGGCTGCACCGATGCCCCCTTCTCTCACCCAACTCAATCAACTTCGGGTTTAAGTTGTCTCGTGTCCCCCACCCCCTCCCGCGTCTCTCTGGCCACTCGCGCAGTCCGCGGTCTTTGAGGTGGTGGCCAGGCTGGAGACAGCTAGAAACCCGCAGGTTCATTCCTGAGCTTGGGCTCCGCGTAGTTTACACTGGTAATAAAAGTCATAGAGCACACAGGGTTCCGCCCCCCTGTGCAGGGCCAGGAGATGGCTGCCTCCAGTAGCACGCGAGCAAAATCCACTACCTTTTTTATTTTTACACATAATTTAGTATGTTGTTTTATTCGGGTCAGGCTTGAGAAATATCTTCTAGAACCCTGGTTTGATTTAGAAGGTGCCACATTCGAGTTTGGTTAAGGTCTGGAGGAGGTGCGTTCGCTTCTCTGCCTTCTCTGCCATGCAGTTCTCTCCCTTGCCCCAGGCCTTCTGGGGTCGCTGTAGGTGCGCCGGGAAGGCATGGCTAGCTAGCTGTGGCGAAGGTGGAAGGGTCGAGGTAGAGCTGGGTGGGCCTAAAAATGACGAGGGAGATGTATGTATGTGGTAGTGGTGGGCCGGCGACACTGCATAGCTCCAAGTTTTCCAGAGCAGTTTCTGAGCCCTGGAACCCAGAGCTGGGAGGAGGTGGGAAGACCTGAGACAAGGCCATGAATTCCAATTTCCCCACTCTGGCAGGCGATTTACATCTATCACTTGGGTGGGTGAAGGAGCACCACCAAGGACCCGGGCAAGAGGAAGGGGTTATCAGCTAAAGATATCCTTTTCCTCGAGGTTCTGAAATCCCTCCCCGCATCGTGCCCCACTGGAGGGCGCTGGGTGGGTTTGAACCTTCGGTCCTGGCAGCAGAGGAGGTGGTACTGGGGCGTTTGTTTTCCGGGGCTCCTGCTGGCGGTCCCTGTCTGTGAAGCCTGAGCTAGACACTTCAAAGCTTCAGTTTTCCACAGGAAATGGTAGAAGAGTAACTGGAGACTCTAAAAGCGAAATAAAACTTTGCTACATATTCCAGGCGGTTTGGCTCGGGGTTGCGTGGTCGGGCGAAAAAGCAGCATTTCTGGGTAGATATCATTCATGTTGCAGCCTGTCTGTTTCCTCCAAGCCGTAGGACAGACGTATCTGGCCTGGCTTGACTTTGTGGGTGCCAACAGTGCGCGTGTGGGTGTGCCAACGCATGTGTGTGCAAGAGCCTTGTGAGTGTGCAAAGGAACGAGCCAGCGGGCTCCTGAGGCATAAAGCTCCAGCTTCAACCGTTTGTAAATTTACTCTGATGAACTCTCTAGACCTCCTCACCTGCATGTGATCATAGTGAGGGAGGGGAAGAAAAGAGCTACTCCCGCACACATGTGTGCGCGCGTGTGTGAGCCTGTGCACGATGGGGGAGGGGCCCCAATCCTGTAGATTCTTCGACTTCTCTGCCAGAGCCCTTCCCCCTCTGTTGCCCTAAGCCATACTCCCCAGAGTACACAGACACGTACAGACGTACAAAGACACGTACAGACGTGCACAGACACAGGCACACGCGGCAAGCACACAGGACGTCCCTCTGAGAACGGTGACATCTGGTGACAAAGCCTGAGGTTTCCTGTGTGCTTTTTCAGAACCGGGCATTCACCTGCAAACCCCCAAGTTTTAAATTGTTCTTTGTTTGGAAGACTACCCTCACTCAGAAAGCACAGACTTGCTCAGTCTTCCTCCCCCTGTAGTGCCCCTACCCCCCCAGTCATCCCTTAACCAGAGTTACCTCAGCACTACAACTCCTCTCTTGCTTCCTCTCGGGTTTTTTTTTTTTTCCTCTCTCGATTTTCTTTTCTGGGGAGTGGGGGGATTCACATCCCCTTAGCCACCCTGAGGAAGCCCTAGGCTGCAAACACTTGCATCCTGTCCCACCTCTGTCTGTCCTTCTCCTAAACTGGGACTTGAGGTGACTTTCTGGGCCCCAGCCCATGTGTCTGCAGAATGCAGGTTTCAATAAACAATATACCCCCAGCTTCCTCATAGCTCTGTTAGTAGTCCATCTTTTTCCAAATGGATTTTACTTTTAGGATCTTTAACCTCTTTTAAAGAACAGCATTTATGTTTCCCCCCCCCCCCTTTTTTTTTTGAGTAAGGCTAATTTAAGGAGAGAGAAAACCACAGGGTTGGTTTTGGGCAGGGTGAATGAGTGGCGGCTGGGCCTTGAAGCCATCACAGACTTACCCCACACCACACATCTTAACTTCTGGGGCTCAGGGCTCTTCCTTCAGCCTTTTCTGGCCCAAGACATACTGGTATTTCATCCTGATCTCTTAATCTCTTCATGGGCTTGTTCAAAATGGCCAGGCATGCATACAGAAGAGCTAAGAAATGAGTGATTAATGTTTCAGGCATCCAGAACATAGCCTGAACATCAAGCCTGTTTCTCCAGCTGTTTTGTGTGGCAGCCTGTCTGATATGCAAGCCTGACTGAGGACCACACACCTTCCACAACAGATTCTCCCTCTTTTGACTCACTAACATCACTTATTTATTCATTTGTGGATTCATCTCTTCTTCAATATTTATTGAACAGTTTTTAAATGCCAGGGAATGAGCAGACACTGGGTAAAAGGCAAAAACAGCCAACCCATTCCCAGGGTCATTTCATTCATATCGATCTTCTGCGTTCCTTTTGTCTAGTACTACCGTCAGGGATGTAGCTCAGTTGATGGACTGCTTGCCTAGCATGCGAGGAGCTCCGGCTTCAATCCCTAGCACCGAATAACCAACTTAGGCATGTCATACTAGCTGGCAGAAGTGGAGATAGAAAAATGAGACGTTCAAGACCATCCTCAGCTGCATAGCAAAGTTTGAGGCCAATCTGGGATGCATGAGACCTTGCCTCAAACAAATAAACAAAATGTACTACTGCCATCTTCCTTGTACAGTGCAAGAAACTGAGGCACAGATGGAGTTTTAGTGTATTGCTTGTTTGACTGCAGATGGCCTACTTCAGAGCCCATACTCTTAACCACTGTGCATGTGTGACTTCAGGTGCAGGTGAGTTCCCTGCCTTCAGGCCAACCTACTTCATTATCCACACAGTTGAGCACTAACCCCAGACAATTTGCTGTTCTTTTTGTTCCCACTTACACCCCTTTCAGACCTGACATCTAAATTGGCAGTACTGAATATGTGTTTTTTTTTTACATCTTCTAAGCCAAAAGGAGAACCTAATACACAGTCAGAACTTACTTGACATCTGTTTGAGTAAGCTGTTGTACTATACTGTACAGCGATGTCCTCAAAGAAGCTAGCTGCCTTCAAGCTTCTTGAATTTCATTCTTAATTATTAAGTGTGTGTGTGTGTGTGCAAGCGTGTCAAGCTGCCCATGCAGAGGTCATTGTGAGTGAAAAAAAGAAATAAAAAGGAAGATATAACTGTTCTTAGGTATAGTAGAGGTTTATGGTAGATATGAGGGAGAGCATAGTCAAAGGCAGGGACAAAAATATCTGGGATAGTCCAAAGTGGACAATCCCCTGAGCTGACCTGTGTGAGGAGAGTGGGGAGGAAGGGGGAGGCTGTAAGCGCCTTTAGTAGAGATGCCCAGATGGGATTGCCGGCCAGAGTACCCAACACTTCTCCCTTTTGTTTTACTATAAAAGGTAAGGAGTTAGGAAAGGGTAACTGGTGAGGGTCCTGGCTTTTTAGACTGCTTCTTGCTATCTGGGGAAAGGGCAGCCCAACCCCTGGAGTGAATGCCAGTTATACCCTGTAACAGGTAGGGACTGAGGGATGCTGGGAGAACCTGGCAACCAGGTCCCCTTGGATATGTAAATAGCCCCCCCCCCCCCAGTTAGCCATTTCTTTTGGGTTTGAGACCTAAAATCCCAGCCTTCTTGTTGATAATAAATGATAAGGAACAACACAATATTTTCTGTGCATCATTTTGGGGAGAAATTCCAAGAAAGCTGGAATGCTGACCAAGGCCGGGATGAGAGAAAGATAGGAGTGAAGGCCCTTTACTTGTGATCCAGGCTTGCGCGACCATCTGGGACCAGGTGCCTTGGAGCAGTTTGTGAGACTGGACGACCACCTGGGACCAGCCGCTTTGGAGCCATGTAGGATGCAGATTTCACAGGAATGGCAACTTTGGAGCAGTTTTCAATCTAAAACAGTGGAAATCAGAAGATCCTTCTGAGGGTCAGTTCACTCCTTCCACCATGCCGGTCCTGGGGATCAGGCTGGGGTACTCAGGCTTGGTGGCAAGCATCTCTACCCACTGAGCCATCTTGCTAGCGCTAAAACCTTCTTTTGAAAGTTTTTCGGCTTCGTCCCACACGTACTGCCACTTCTGCAACAGCCTCTCCGTCATATTTGGGTACTAAACTGATAAGGCTGGGGAATCACAAAACTAGGAGGACTGGGTTCAGAAAAAAACGAAAACTACAGGGGGCGGGAGGCAGCATTAACTGGGCGGGGCTTGGGTCCAGCTCGGCTGGGTGGGGCTTGGGTCCAGTCAGCCGGGCGGGGCTTGGAGCGTGATCTTTGTGGTGCTGTAAAAACTCTTTAGACCTAGGTTTTCTTGTGTTAATTTTTAGTGTTTTGAAGAGCCTGAGACCCCAGGGACTGGTGGAGTTTTTGTGGGGTGTGTACATTTGATTTGATCCATTGTCCTGGCACTGAAAACAAGGAGGAAGCAGAAGGCTTTTGTCATGTCTTAGTCACTGCGTCTTAAGTGCCGCCAGAGAAACCACTAAGCTTGCTAGATCGCCAATGATCTGCCCTCTTCCCTAAGAGGCTCTACAACTCCTTCTCATCCACAGCGTTCTTCTAGTGCCCCTTTGGAATGCCTGACACGCTGCAGAGTGGAATGCCTACTTGTTGAGTGAATGCATATAGTCAGCTCCTTCAGTCTTTAGGATGGCAAACTTAGCCACCAGCCTTTGTAAGGGTGGTTGCTATGGGATCAGCCTCCAATGTCACCTCCAGGGTTTGGATTCCA